TACTGCTTCTCTTCCATTTGGATAATATTCTACCCCTTCCCTTATGCTATATGCAATACAAAGCTCATCCCCAGATTTCTCTGCTGCTGGTAGAATGGCCTGTTTCTCAGTGCCCATCAGTGTCCTATTAAAAAGTAATATAATGTCTCTCCAGGAGAGATCAAATATTTGACTGAAATTCTAGAAAGCCTCTTTATTTCTATCAGAGTCATCTGAAAAGTTGCCAAGATCCCCCTTGATTTGCTTTAAGTCCTGTAGGGAGAAGGGGATCTGGACCTCAATGGGCCCAAATTTACTGAGCATCTGCTGGAGGGCAAGAGTGAGACTGGGGCTTATCTAGAGTGAGGATTTTTAGGAGGGAACAAGTGAGAGGCTGAAGCTGGAGAGGGAGGTCAGGGTGGACCCCAGGAAGCAGGGCCTGAGGGAGCTGGCTCCTCTGCTGTAGGTGCCTCTGGGAATCTGGTCTTTGACTCCCTGGGCTTGTGCCTTGCAACCTTCCCTGAGATGGCAAACAGGAGGTCTGGATCAATCCTGTGTTGTCTGCAAAGGTCTGGATTGCCTTGCAAGGTATAGAAAGTCTGCACATATGGGGCTCAGACCATGTGTCCTCACATCTATAGAAAAGTTCCAGTTACCAGATGGTATCAAAATGAATGGTCTCTTCCTGAGGCCAAGCCAGTCCTTCCTGTAAATAATAATTTGACCAAACTTTTGTGCAGAGGACAATGAGGCAATATTTCCTCCAGATTATGAGGGTGAAGGGAATCCCAAAGCTTCAGGAAACATAAGCTAGGAGTGATGAAGATAACTGGCTGCCCATTCTGAAAGACAGGGAACAGAGGCATCCCTCATTTCTTTTCCATCTTCCAGTGGAAATTCAGGGTGTGTTGGAGAGAAAGTGAGCATCCTCCCTTCACTCTTCATCTCTTGTCCCTGAGCCCTGGAAACCTTGGCAGGTGCTGACCATAGGTACTGATGCAATATGTACTCATAAAGCAGGGAAATCCTGAAGAATAGGAATTAACCGCCCTCACCTATGCTTCCCTTTCTCCCTGCTCTCAGGAAACCTTGAATTCCCTGGGCCTGTTTATGCCATGAGGCATGGCCTCCTTCCATGGAGTTGGGGGTTTAGTGAGCAGGAATTGGTCCTACCCATTTACATTGTGTCTTTTGCCTGGTTTGGATCCCACAGATCTGTTTTTTCTTTCTAAGGCCTTAGCCTGAAGCTTGGAGTAGAGTTGGGGCTTGAAAAAGTATTTTAGAGGCTGTTTGTATCTGTTCAGAGTTTCTCAAATGTGCCCTACCAAATTTGCAGGGGCACTTCTCTGTTAGCAGGGGGCATTTCTCTGTTAACTTCTCTATCAGAAACAGAGCTGGGTGGGGGGACTTCTTACTTCAAAAGGAAACAAAAAGGGAAAACAATTTAAAGGGCAAAAGGGGGAGATCCTGGGTGAGGGGAAGAACCCCTTGCTTAGTGTAACTGGGCCCCTCTAATTTTTATATCTTTCTCCTATTCCAGACTGGGTTGAATTCCTTGGCTAGGGGATGAAAGTTTCTATTAGCACAGCGGGCAAGAAGCACTCTTTAGAGTCCTGGCTACCACCTTGGCTTCCTCCTAAACACCCTAATGGCTGTTGGGCTTGGCATTTGCCTGCTGTGTGCATGCCCAGTGCCCAAACTGGGAGGGAAAAGGGTAAGGAGAGGTGCCACATGTGCCTGTGGCTGTAAGGTAGAGGCATTCATGGCACCTCTAGAAAATGGTCTGACTTGCACCTTCAGCAGCTGAGCCGAATGCTCATTTTACTTAGTAACATTGCTGTAGCCTGTAACAAAGCTTTTCACATTATAAAGGAAGAGATAAGAACTATTTCAAATCATGTGTGAGAGAAAAGAGATGAAAGGAAAACAGAGCCTTTAACCCACAGGAAAGAGAGGTGGCAGAGTTTTGGAAGAAAGGCAGATTCACACTCACCTTCTGAGATTCTGGATGAGCCCTCAGTTGAAATGGGAAAGGTTCTCTTGTCCCCTCACAGGACATGTGGTGGCAGTGTGGCTCAATTCTTCAGTGTCTCACTGCTTAAATTTCTAAGGGATCATGCAGATGGGCAGGCTGTAGGACTCTGATCCCACGGCAGTGTCTAGGGGGTGATTGTTTATAGCAGAAGCCTCAATGGGCATGTGTTACAAGGTGTTACAAGGTTTAGCCATCCATAGGCAACTTGTGCTAGACATCTCAATTAGATCCCTGCTTTATTGCAAGGACAGAGAGCTTTCTGTATCCCAGGGTTCTTGCCTTGGTGTATCAGAAGAATCAGATCACACGTGGGCTTGGAGAATGAGTGCAAGGTTTTATCGAGTGGAAGTAGCTTTCAGCAGATGCGGGGGCCAGAAGAGAGATGTTTTTTTCCCCTGGAGTCAGACCCCTCACAGCCTGGGCTGTCCTCTGACTGCCCCAGCCAAACTCCACATTGTTCTACTGGTTGATGGCATGCTGGCAGTGCTGGAGGTTTCTGTCAGTATACTCTTGAAGTCCAGCCACTTGTGTGTTCTTCCACCAATGTGTTTCCCTCAATATCTAGCCCCCTGTGTGTTCCTCTGCTGATATGCTCCTCTCCACATCTACCTGCCTGTGTGCTCCTCCACTGATGTGTTCCTCTCCACATCTACCTGCCTGTGTGCTCCTCTACTGATGTGCTCCTCTCCACATCCAGCCATCTGTGTGTTTGCCTGCTAGGGTCTCAGGGTTTTTACAGGCACAGGATGGGGCATGGTGGGCCAGGGGCATCTTGGGAAATTCAACACTGGGGCAGGAAAACAAAAATGCCTGTCTTCACTTAGGTCCATGGGCACAGGCCTAGGGGTGGAGCTTTAGCCAGGGACCACGCCCTCCTCTACCCAGCACTTCCCTGCCCCCTTTTATATAATTTAAAGGAACCATGCATTATATTTAGGATTGTGATATTTTCCTGATGGTCTATTCCTTTTGTTATAATGTAATGTCCCTCTGTCTTTTTTTTTTTGAGATGTAGTTTCGCTCTTGTTACCCAGGCTGGAGTGCGATGGTGAGATCTCTGCTCATCGCGATCTCGGCTCACCGCAGCCTCCGCCTCCTGGGTTCAGGCAATTCTCCTGCCTCAGCCTCCTGAGTAGCTGGAATTACAGGCACGCGCTACCATGCCCAGCTAATTTTTTGTATTTTTTTTTTTTTAGTAGAGACAGGATTTCACCATGATGACCAGGATGGTCTCGATCTCTTGACCTCGTGATCCACCCGCCTCGGCCTCCCAAAGTGCTGGGATTACAGGCTTGAGCCACCGCGCCCGGACCCCCTCTGTCTTTTTTAAGTGCTGTTACTTTAGAGTCTGTTCTGTCTGATATAAGAATAGCTACTCCTGTTCAATTTTGTGTCCATTTGTATGGAATATCTTTTTCCACTCCTTTACCTTAAGTTTATATGGAGTCCTTATGTGTTAAGTGAGTTTTGTATTTGTTTGTTTGTTTTTAGATGGAGTCTTGCTCTGTCACCCAGGCTGGAGTACAGTGGCACAATCTTGGCTCACTGCAACTTCCACCTCCTGAATTCAGGTGATTCTCCTGCCTCAGCTTCCTGAGTAGCTGGGATTACAGATGCCTGCCATTATACCAGGCTAATTTTTGTATATTTAGTAGAGATGGGTTTTGTCATATTGACTAGGCTGAGCTTGAACTCCTGACTGCAAGTGATCTGCTCACCTCAGCCTCCCAAAGTGCCAGGATTACACACATAAGCCATCTCACCCTGCCATGTGTGTGTCTTGAAGGCAGCAGATACTTGGTTGGTGAATACTAATCAGTTCTGCTATTCTGTATCATTTAAGTAGAGCATTTAAGTCATTGACATTTAATGTTAGTACTGAGACATGAGGTACTATTCTATTCATCATGCTAGTTGTTGACTGAATATCCTGTAATTTTATTGCTTTTTGTTATTGTTTTATAGGTCCTCTGAGATTTATGCTCTAAGAAGGTTCTATTTTGAGGTTTTCTTTAAAGATTTAGAGCTCCTTTTATCAGTTCTCCCAGTGCTGGCTTGATAGTGGCAAATTCTCTCAGCTTTTGTTTGTCTAAAAATGTATGTATCTTTCCTTCATTTGTGAAGGTTAGTTTTGTTCAATACAAAATTGTCTTGTTTAAGGAGGGTGAAGATATGGCCCCAATCCTTTCTGGCTTGTATACTTCTGCTGAGAAATCTGCTATTAATCTGATAGGTTTTCCTTTATGGGTTACCTGATGCTTTTGCCTCACAGCTCTTAAGATTCTTTCATCTTGACTTGAGATAACCTGATGACCATGTGCCCAGGTGATTTTTTTTTTGTGTGTGATAAATTTCCCAAGTGTTCTTAGAGCTCCTTATATTCGGATGTCTACATCTTTAGCAAGCCCAGGGAAATTTTTCTCAATTATTTTCTCAAATAAATTTTCCAAACTTTTAGATTTCTCTTCTTCCTCAGTAACACCAATTATTCTTAGTTTCAGTTATTTAACATAATCTCAAACTTCTTGGAGGCTTAGTTTATTCATTATTTTATTCTTTTTGTCTGTGTCAGATTAGGTAAACTTGAAAGACGTGTTTCAGCTCTGAAGTTCTTTCTTCTACTTGTTCAATTCTATCGTTGAAACTTTGCAGTGTATTTTCCATTTCTCCAAGTGTGTCTTTCATTTCCAAAAGTTGTGGTTATTTTTTATTTATGTTCTATTTCTCTGGAGATTTTTTCATCCATATCCTGTATTTTTAAAAATTTCTTTAAGTTGTTTTTCCCTTTTCTCTGGTGTTTCCTTGAGTAGCTTAATAGTTGGCCTTCTGAATTTTTTTTTTTTTCTGGCAATTGAGAGATTTCTTCTTGGTTTGGATCCATTGCTGGTGAGCTAGTGTGATGTTTTGGAGGTTTTATAGAAAACCAGTAGTAGGGCAATCGCATCAGGTTATGAAAGTTATAAATGTCCTTGTCTCCTTTGTTCAGGTGTGCTCTCATGGCAAGACTGCAAGAGAGTTGCATCCTTCCTGCAGGAAGTAAACTATCCTTGCTGAGTCATCCAGTGTCTCAGCATGGACTTTTCCTGACATTATAAACCTGTTTCCAACATAAATTCTGCCAACAGACTCATCTGTCTTCAGCAATAGGTAAAAGCGCACTTCTTTTATGATTCTGAACAAGAATAAAGGGATAGCATTTTTGAGAAGGTAATTAATTTGCGAGATGTTGTCAACAAAGTATAAGGGAAAAGTGAGTATAGAAAAGTTTGTTCCATTGTGGATTAACTTCTGGATACAAGTCCTGTGCTTGGCACATAGTTATTAAACAAGTAATTGAATCATATTTATAGCATGCAGGAGAATACATTTCATAAAATAAACATTCAACAGCCACATGATTCGAGGGCTGTCTGATCCCAATTCCAACTCTTCCCACTATACCATGCTACCTCTTGATTACATTGATTAAGCACCTACATGGATGTGTTATGTTTGGGGTATCTTGCCAACATTTAAAATAGAGTTGCCAAATGAAATTCTGGCTGTCTAGTTAAATTTGAATTTCAGGTAAACAACATTTTTCAGGGTATAAGTATATTCCTAATATTATGCTGGTGGTTCCCATCAGCTTCAACATTCCTTTCTTCCTCTTCTGCTAGAATTGATTCATATCAGTTCATTTGCTTAACAAATATTTATTGAGTGGCTTCTCTGCGTGCCGTGCCGTGTTCAAGGTACTGGGAAGAAGAGTAAACAAAACTAGCAATTCCCTGCCCTCACAGCGGAGGAGGAGGAGGAGGAGGAGGAGAGTAAAAGGAGCAAACACACACTCCACAGAATTTCAGGAATGGAAAGGGCATCAGAGAAAAAGCAAACAAAGGAAAGAGAATGAGGGAATGGTGGAAACAAAATGAGAGATGCATAATTCAGTTCTGGAGATGTCTGTGATGAGATGGTGACTTTTCATCAGAAACTGGAATTATGTAAAATGCAAATCACATGTGTCTACCTGGTCAGAGGGAATAGCAAGTAAATTCTGAATCTAATAAAATTCAAAATATTTGAAAGATATTGCCAGTTTTTAGACGTGGTCTTTTTTGGCCCCACCTGGCAATCATTTTTTCATTGTCCATTTTCTGCAATAAATCAGCAGGGAATGCAGGGAACTGGGTGGCAGGCCTTGTCTGCTGCAATGGGAGATATTTGGGGCAAAGCTCTGCTTGTTCTTGTGGGAGATGTTTCTGTGAAAGTCCCCACTGGATGATAAGAGCCAGTGTCCTCTGAAGCAGGTTTCATCACCCAGTGGGCTCCCCCATGCAAGACTAAGGTCAGGCAGCTGTAGGATGTGCCACCCTTTAAACAATGGAGAGCCCCACAGTCAGGCTGCTACACAGTTCACCTCAATTAGATAGGATATTAGCTTTAACATACACAGCTTCTATGAGGCATGTTTCCCTATAAAATACAGAATAAAGACGCGTGGAGTAACAATGACTTTCTTTTCTTTTTCTTTTTGGTATTCAAAACATTATCCCATTGCTTTATTAAAAAAATAGATACAAATGCAAACAAAACAAACAATGAATACCATTTTGTATCTGTCAAATGAGCAAAAATGTTTTACAATCTTAATATCTTACACCAGTAATGATGTGCTGAGGCAGGCACTTGTGAGAATACAGATTTCATTTTTTGTATTTACTCTTAAACTAAAAAATAAAAAATGTGTATGTTTATGTTGTACAATATGCTGTTCTGGAATATATATACGTTGTGGAACGTCTAAATGAAATGAACTAACATTGAATGCTCCAGGGCTGGGCTCTCATTCCATCTCTATAGTGACTCTGATGTCTTCCAAATTTTGTATTTTCAACCCAGACCTCTCCCCTGAATGCCAGTCTCCTTATTCTGTAGCTCGTCAGTGCCACCCATGTCATCTGCCCCCAAACTCTTTTTTCTGTCACCATCACCTTGGTCCAAATCACCATAGTTTCTCATGTAGTTAATTGCAGTAACTTACTAACTTGTCTCCCTGTCTCTACCTTTGTCCCCGTACAGTCTGTTGTGGAAAGAGTCATCAGAATGATTCTTTTTATGCACGTAGATCACGTCCTGCCTATGCTTAAAATCCCAACTTTTCTCCATCTCATTCAGAGTGGAAGTCCAAGCCCGGGGCTGCCAAGGCCTTCTACCCTCCCTTCCCTTGTTCCTCCCAACTCTGGATCCTCCGGCTCACTTGTCTCAGCCACACTGGTTTCCTTGCTGTTTCTCACCAGTCAGCTCTTGCAGTTGATGTCCCCTCCCTGCTTGGATTTGTCTTTCTTCAGATCGACATGACCCTCAGCTCCCTAAGTTCTCTGCTTAGATGTCATCCAGTGTGAAGCCTCCTTGGCCACTCAATTTAAAATGGTCTCCACATGTATCCCAGTGTGCTGTATCCCTCTTCCGGGCAGTGTTTCCTCCTAACACCCCTGGCCCTGCCACACTCCAATGTGTATATAGGATGCATGGATTTGTTTCTCCTTCCTGTCCCAACCTCAGAACCTGTCAACTCTCTGAGGTCAAAGATTTCTGTTTTTCTTCACAACAATATCCTTAGCACTCGGAAGAATATGCTGCATATCTTTATTAGACTAGAAAAATAAATTAGGTTTTATCTTATGTGGTCAGCTAAAGGCACAAAATCATTGTAATCAAGAATTAATCTGGCTGCCTTTAAAGAATGACTTTTCAAGAGTCAGTTGCTCTTCCTGTTTAAGCTAATAGTTTGTGAAGATTCTATTATAAATCATACTGCAGACATCATCCTACAAATAATGATAATTTAAGTAAATACATATAATACAGAATGCAAATAAAAGCATGGTTTTCATTTGAAGTGCTGATTATGATTAGAATTATTGAAATTCCTTTTGTACATTTTCATGTGTTGAAACAAATTAAATAGAAAATGTACAACAATGTAATTTTTATATAATAATGTGGTACATGCATAATGCATTATTTAACTTTATAGTCTTTGCATGTGTTTTTCAGGAAGATTCTTCCAGTGAAAGTAAATTGAAATCATGAGAGCTGCAAAGACAGAGAAATAATAGATGGGCTGATATTGCCCTCTGGTGGAAATATTGAGACATGACAAATTGGAATTATGTTAAAGAATCCATTCCTTTAGCCCAGAGAATGGGCAGGAATTGAATGTGTCCACATTATCATGTGATCTTATAGTGTTGTGTTAGATATTTTTTTAATTAAATATTTAAAATCTGAATTATATTGGGTAACAAGGCTTGAATAAACAATGTACAAAAATACATGATCAGTCACAGAGTAAGAAAAGTCTGATGTGCTGTTTCATCTCTCAAACCAGCAGAAAGTTTGAAAACAAAGTGATAGTGTGAGTAAAAGGGCATTCACATGGTTTGTAGAGGCACAAAATGCCACCGGGTTCTTAATCTGGGGTTGTTTTGGTTGGAGGGCTCCTAAGTTGTATAAAAATGTGAACATATTTGCCCTTTTTTGCTGAGAAGAGATGCAAAATCCATCAGATTCTCAAACATTTATTCTCTCAAATGTTAAGAACAAACATTTAAATTATTTGGGAGAATAATTTGGCAAAATGTGTAAGAAAGTTATGCATATGTGTATTCCAATGTTTTGAATGCGTAATCACTATAAAGCACCTAAACATTCAACAGTGGGGCATTTGAAACAAATCACATTCCAGCCCTATGATAGAGTCACTGTGGTTATTAACAATTGTGCTGCAGAATTAATGATATACAAATGTTCCTTATACATGATAAGGTAGCGAAAGCAGTTTGCCATTTAGTACATGTTATGTGATCCTGAGTTTACTGAAATGCAAGTATATGATGTGCATGGGAAAATATTTGGGAGTATCCGTGAAAAATGCCAATGCCAGTTACGGGTAACTAAATGCAGTGCATGTGCCTTGATTTTTAAATAACTTTACAATGGACGTATTAGTTTTGTAATAAAAAGCATGATAAATATAATACAAAAAGGAATGATTACTTTTCTACATGTTAAAAGATTTGACACAGGAGATTGTTAACTTTAATCAACTGAACTGAACAGGTACAAATTTGAAAAAGCACTTTAGAGGACTAGAAAAATAATCATGGAATACTACACATTGTTTCTATCTGCAGAAAGACTTTCTTAATATTTAAAAGCAGTTCAAAAGTCTGTAAATTTCTAAGAAAATAGAAAAATCTGAGCTTTTTAGGACTTTTACAAGACACTAGAGCCTTGGTAAGTCTTTTCTAGAATAAGACAGAGTGAAATAGAATAAATTAAAATGAAATAATTTTAAAAATTAGAGCATTAGCAAAGGCAGGTAAGCCACTTCAAATATATAAATAAACTCCTAAAATTTTTATTTTTTGTTATTTTTAGGAAAAAATGTTTATACTTCTATCCCCTTTTAGGAGTGAAAAGAGCAAAGGAACTGGTAAGATAGGCTTAGTCTGGGCACGGTGGCTCACACCTGTAATCCCAGCACTTTGGAATGCTGAGGTGGGTGGATCACCTGAGATCAGGAGTTTGAGACCATCCTGGCCAACATAGTTAAACCCCATGTCTACTAAAAATACAAAAAATTAGCCTAGCAGGCTAGCAGACAACTGTAATCCCAGCTACTTGGGAGGTTGAGGCAAGAGAATAGCTTGAACCCTGGAGGTGGAGGCTGCAGTGAGCTGAGATTGCACCATTGCACTCCAGCCTGGGTAACAAGAGCAAAACTTCGTCTTAAAAAAAAATAAGGAAGGAAGGAAAGAAGGAAGGAAGGAGAGAAGGAAGAAAAGAAGGAGGGAGGGAGAGAAAGAAGGAAGGAAGGAAGGAAGTAAAGAAGGAAAGAGGGAGGGAAGGCAGGCAGGCAGGCAGGCAAACTTGGTAGAGAGGCAATTCCTGAACTGGATTTTTTTTTTTCTTTTCAGACTACAAGTGACTAAACAGAACTTCAACAGTACAATGGTGCCATTGAAAGCCCTGATTTAAGTCTGTCTGTCTTTCCATTTGATATTGTATTGCAGGCATGAGCTCTGCCTTCCCCTTGGCAGTGGCGAAGTGATATGGAGCGGGGGCAGTGAGGTGGCGCTTTATAGGACTGAGAACACCACGCTCATTTATACATAAGATTCCTACCCATTGGATCACTTGAGGAAAGGAGTTCAAGACCAGCCTGGCCAATATGGTGAGAACCCGTCTCTACTAAAAATACAAAAGTTGGGCAGGTGTGGTGGCTTGCGCCTGCAATCCTAGCTACTCAGGAGGCTGAGGCATGAGAATTGCTTGAACCCTGGAGGTGGAGGTTGCAGTGAACCGAGATCACCCCACTGCACTCCAGCCTGGGTAACAGGGTGAGAATCTGCCTCAAAACACACACACACACACACACACACACACACACACACACACACACACACACAATTCCTACTCCAGAGGACTCTAGAACAAAATGAGTGCAGCTGTTATGGTAAGTGAAACAGCTACTGATCTGGCAGGATCTTCAAGATACAAGGTAAAGAGAAGAAAGCCAGGTGTGGGGTAGTCCACTTGTTGTCTTTTGTGTGAGTCTGTACCTCTCGGTGTTTTTAGGTGTTTTAAATGCAGAGACTAAAGGAATTGGCGGTAGGTAGGCATTGCCTCCAGGGACTGGGTCTGGGTAACTGGGAGGCACAGAGAGAGGTGTACTTTCTTTTCACTGCAAACCTTTTGTGCATCCAGCATTCCGCCTTTAAAAAAAAAAAAAGATCCGTATATGGATCATTCTTCAAACAACAGAAAAAGGGAACCAAATTAAAAAAAATCTACCCAAAGAAAATTTTTTCGTAATAAAAATTGTTCCAAGCCTCAGAGCTTGGCTCCCTTGTTTTGAGCAGGATCAAGTATTCATGTATTCAGCTGAAGCTCATCCTTAGGTTTTTGATGAAGCTGTGCCATGTTTTTTTATCTCCTTTCATAGGGTTTCTGAACTCCCATCTTGTCAATGAAGTAGTTTTTAGTTGAACTGTTAATTGCAATTGATGAAAGTAAACAATGCAAGACATTAATTTTGGTGCTTCTACTTTTAAAACAATCACGTAAAATTCTAGAACAAGATTTGCTGTTCAGTAGGAAGGTCAGATTCTTTTCCCTATACACTCAATGCTACATATTCATGCTCCAGCGCAGACTGCTTGCAATGTAAAGAGGCTGACAACCAGAGTTATAATTAGGTCCTGCTTGCTTCCCTTAGAGTTTACAGTCCAGAAATTTCATGGAAATAATGAGAGTCTTAGAGTTTTTTGTTACGAGTTGAAATGCATATTCCAACACTCATCTATTAAAGTCCTAATCCCCAGTACTTTAGAATGTGACCTTATTTGGAAATAAGGTCATTCATTACAGATGTAGGAAAAGATGAGGTCACAGTGGAGTAAGGTGGGCTACAATCCAATGTGACCATGTCCTTGTAAAAAGGGGAAATATTTACACCACCACACACACACAGGGAGAACACCATGTGAAGATGAACACAGAGACCAGACTAATGGTTTTACCAGACAAGGAATGCTGAAGATTGGCAGCAAACTACCAGATGCTAGGAGAGGGTAACGGCACAGATTCTTCCTCACAGCCATCAGAAGGAAGGACCCCTGCCAACACTGGATCTCTGGCACAGATTCTTCCTCACAGCCGTTGGAAGGAAGGACCCCTGCTAACACTGGATCTCTGGCACAGATTCTTCCTCACAGCCATCAGAAGGAAGGACCCCTGCTAACACTGGATCTCTGGATCTCTGGCACAGATTCTTCCTCACAGCCATCAGAAGGAAGGACCCCTGCTAACACTGGATATCTGCATCTCTGCCACAGATTCTTCCTCACAGCCATCAGAAGGAAGGACCCCTGCTAACACTGGATATCTGCATCTCTGCCACAGATTCTTCCTCACCGCCATCAGAAGGAAGGACCCCTGCTAACACTTGATCTCTGGATCTCTGGCACAGATTCTTTCCCACAGCCGTCAGAAGGAAGGACCCCTGCTAACACCGGATCTCTGGATCTCTGGCACAGATTCTTCCTCACAGCCATCAGAAGGAAGGACCCCTGCTAACACTGGATCTCTGGATCTCTGGAACAGATTCTTCCCCACAGCCGTCAGAAGGAAGGACCCCTGCTAACACTGGATATCTGCATCTCTGCCACAGATTCTTCCTCACAGCCATCAGAAGGAAGGACCCCTGCCAACACTGGATCTCTGGCACAGATTCTTCCTCACAGCCATCAGAAGGAAGGACCCCTGCTAACACTGGATCTCTGGCACAGATTCTTTCCCACAGCCATCAGAAGGAAGGACCCCTGCTAACACTTGATCTCTGGCACAGATTCTTCCTCACAGCCATCAGAAGGAAGGACCCCTGCTAACACTTGATCTCTGGATCTCTGGCACAGATTCTTTCCCACAGCCGTCAGAAGGAAGGAGCCCTGCTAACACCGGATCTCTGGATCTCTGGCACAGATTCTTCCTCACAGCCATCAGAAGGAAGGACCCCTGCTAACACTTGATCTCTGGATCTCTGGCACAGATTCTTTCCCACAGCCGTCAGAAGGAAGGACCCCAGCTAACACCGGATCTCTGGATCTCTGGCACAGATTCTTCCTCACAGCCATCAGAAGGAAGGACCCCTGCTAACACTGGATATCTGCATCTCTGCCACAGATTCTTCCTCACAGCCATCAGAAGGAAGGACCCCTGCTAACACTTGATCTCTGGATCTCTGGCACAGATTCTTCCTCACAGCCATCAGAAGGAAGGACCCCTGCTAACACTTGATCTCTGGATCTCTGGCACAGATTCTTTCCCACAGCCGTCAGAAGGAAGGACCCCAGCTAACACCGGATCTCTGGATCTCTGGCACAGATTCTTCCTCACAGCCATCAGAAGGAAGGACCCCTGCTAACACCAGATCTCTGGATCTCTGGCACAGATTCTTCCTCACAGCCATCAGAAGGAAGGACCCCTGCTAACACTTGATCTCTGGATCTCTGGCACAGATTCTTCCTCACAGCCATCAGAAGGAAGGACCCCTGCTAACACTGGGCTCTAGAACTGTGAGACAGTAGGTTCCTATTGGTGAAGCTGATTCATTAGTGGTAGTTTGTTGCAGCTGCCCTATCAAACAACTACGAATTCCAGTCCAAATGGAATTAAGCAGAATAAACTTGGAAAAGAGAAGACAGACCATGACAGGGCGGCTGAATTATCCCCTCCTTTTAGAAATGTATAATCTTTTTTAATGGTAAAAGAACACTGTGTGCAAATAACAAAATCGAGAAGCTCTGGTTCCTAAATCGCCAAGACCCTTAACAGGTGTGATTGATTGAGCGTTGACCACAGGTGCCAGGCCTGGTGCTTGGTGCTTTGACTGGATTATCTTTCCTTCTCACGAATAATGCACAAGGTTGATGCAATTCTCTCCATTTTACTGAGCCTCAGAGAAATAAGGGAAAATCCCAGGGCTGCACAGGTGTTAAGTCATGAGCTCAAGATTTGGGCCCAAATTTGATGGGCGCTGTCAAATTAAGAACTGCTAGACCATATATTCATTAACTGTCATTTTGAGATGTTTCTCCAATTTTTTTCGAGTATGCAGGATTTAAATTGTCTTTAGAGATAGGTTCTCACTCTGTTGCCCAGGCTGGAGCACAGCAGTGCAGTCATAGCTCACTGCAGCCTCAAACTCCTGGTCTCAAGTGATCCTTCCACCTCAGCCTCCGCAGTGCTGGGATTACAGGCATGAGCCACCATTCCCAGACTGAATTTATCACTTTTGATAAAATTTAGAGTGGCAAAGCTGGCACTAACAACAGGTTGAATGGTGGTACAGTCTTTAGAACCTCAAAAAAAGGGGCTTATTGATGTGTGTGTGTGTGTGTGTGTAGTGAATGATGGCAGTCTCAGTTTGTAGTAAATGATAAAAAGTTTTCCTAATAAAATTGTTGTTTTGCTATGAGACTCTAAAGAACATGGCAATAATCCTTTAGCCTGTTCTTTATCATTTTAAGAATGGAAGGAAAGTTCTACTCTAGGATAGCCTTAGTGATATCTGGTGATTTTGTAACCTGAAGTCAATTTATCAGGTCAAGCAGATTTTCCTGGGTAGGAAATACTGTTTTCTTTTTCATTCACTTGTTGAACAGAGGAACAGAGTCTTCAAGTTATTTGCAATTTCGACTCAGTTTTTTTTTAGTAGCAATCAATTTAAAACTCTATAGCTTCCCATAGCTTGTTCTATAATGACAAAGTTTATAATTTAATCCACTCCATAGATGACATTTGGCCGTAAGAAAATGATATGTAAATTATGATACTTAGTGAATGTATTGCAGAGTGGACTAAATAGTTCTTCTGGGCACATCTGTGCCCTCCACAAGGTAAGAGAAAACTTGTTTTTCTTCTAACTTGAACATATGCCGTGTTTTAAGGTAGATTTTTATTTAAATGCAAAACATTGTTATTTTAAATATCAAATAAAATGTCATTTGCTTGTATCTTCCCTTATGCATTCTAATTTAATTTTGTAATCTATTGGCTCTTTCCTCTTATTCATGGGAAATTAGTAAAACAACAAAAAGACATATAGATGATTCATTTAAAATTTTCTCACATCTACATAAAGTCTAGAAAATTGTTGTATTTAACACTCCATAACAGTGGTATTTTTTCTCACAATCTTCTCTCATGTAATTTGAGAGATTTGTATTTTCGCTCTAAAGACACAGGCTCTGAGCACTTTTTTTTTTTTTGAGATAGTCTATTGCCCAGGCTGGAGGCAGTGGAGGGATCTTGGCGCAGTGCAACTTCCGCTTCCCAGGTTCAAGTGATTCTCATATCTCAGCCTCCTAAATAGTTGAGACTACAGGCACATGTCACCATGCCTGGCTAGTTTTTTGGATTTTTAGTAGAGACAGGGGTCTCACCATGTTGGCCAGGCTGGTCTCGAACTACTGACCTCAAGTGATCTGTCTGCCTCGGCCTTGCAAAGGAGTATTTTTTTTTCTTTATTTCTGTTATACAACAGCATATGTGAATAACTACGAGAAGCCATTAAAAGTCTTCTCTTTGGGGAATACAGAGTTTCTTTAAACCACTTTTACAATAGCATTTATTGCACTTTTTCTTTCAGGTGTGTGGTTTCCAATTTACTCATATACGTTCTCTGATGAGCTGCCTAGAGGCCTATAATCCTGTTCCTATCTTCAGCACTGCCCAGATAGTTATTGGTCTTGCAGCACAACAAAGCATTTTAGACAAGCCTCCTCTGTTCATTCAGACCTTTTGTATAAAAGAGCTTTGAAACCGATCCAGGCGCAGATGGCCAGGTTTGACCAGTGTTCCCAGCCTGTGCGACACCCACCACCACCGCCATTTTCCACAGTGAGATAGATGGAGTGGAAAATACTATTAATCTTCAAAAGCAGAATTCCTGCATTATTTGGTCCCCAAGAACCAATCATTTTAAAACAATTTACCACCACAAACTGGGTGCCATTTTATAGAAGAATGACCTAGAACAGAAGAAATGTATTTTCTCTTGCGTCCGCAAAAAGCATTGTATTGGGCAATCAATTTGCTTGTGTTTTAGAAATCCCACTAAACCCTATGGTGCCTTAAAACAAACACAAAGACACCAGGAGAAAACCAGCATTAAGATCCTTTTCTTTTTTAGCTAGTTGTCATTCACTGCATAAAACATTTCCCAGTTTTTTTTTTTTTTTTAACTAAAGCAGATTACTGTTATTAAATTTTTCAATACAAATAAGAAATGGGTTAAAAATTATTCAACCAATTCTATGAGCTGATTTTAAATGTCCTGTTTCTGATGATGAAAGCTATGCTTGGCAGCCTTGAATCTTGTCTTAATTCAGGCTGCCATAAGAAAATGTTATAGCTGGGCGTGATGGCTCATGCCTGCAATCCCAGCACTTTGGGGATCTGAGGCAGGCAAATCACCTGAGGTTGGGAGTTTGAGGCCAGCCTGACCAACAAGGAGAAACCCTGTCTCTACTAACAAAACAAAAATTTAGCTGCATGTGGTGGCACACACCTGTAATCCCAGCTACTTGGGAGGCCGAGGCAGGAGAATCACTTGAACCTGGAAGGCGGAGGTTGCAGTGAGCCAAGATCACGCCATTGCACTTCAGCCTGGGAAACAAGAGCGAAACTCTGTCTCAAAAATCTTTTTCTTTTGGTAATTGATGATCAAATATAAATGTGGTATATTTATATATTTGCCTTATAAATGTTAGCAGCAAAGTTCAAAAAGTTACCTTTGTCTCAGTGGTTTCAGAAACCCAACCCTTAACACAAAATTGTTAAAGAGATTCTAAAGCCATTGCAACAGGTTATAATTCCTTTCTGAATGAATGAATTAATCAACAAAAGAAATCTCATTTATATTCATTTAAAAATTGCTTTTCCTCCTTGATTATTTGCTAAGATTTATTTTTTAAGTTGGTGCACTGTGTGGTAATTGCATTGAAAGAGAAGGTAGTCTTTTTTTTTTTTTTTGATGGAGTCTCACTCTGTTGCCTAGACTGGAGTGCAGTGGCGTGATCTCGGCTCACTGCAACCTCCACCTCCCTGGTTCAAGCGATTCTCATGCCTCAGCCTCTCGAGCAGCTGGGATTACAGGCATGTACCACTGCGCCCAGCTAATTTTTGTATTTTTAGTAGAGACAGGGTTTTACCCTGTTGGCCAGACTGGTCTCAAACTCCTGACCTCAGGCAATCTGCCCACCTCGGTATCCCAAAGTGCTGGGATTACAGGCGTGAGTTAACGCGCCTGGCTGGTAGTCTGTTTTAATGTCTGCTACCCCAGTGATTATTAGTATTGATCTCTTGATTTGGCTGCGTGGGAGAGGAGCCACCCATTTATTAGCAGAACAAGTTTCGCAGGTGGAGAAAAGCCTTTCTTTGGTTACAGGTACTGGTTTCATGATACTTTTCCTGCTTCTGTTTTAAAAAACTAATGGACAACTTCATTGGGAAACAATTTTTCATGGGTTTCTTGTGTTTCTGCATGTTTGTATCTATTTTTGTTCCCAAATATTTTTCCAAGGATGTTTGTATGGTAAACAGTCTTGGAAGATAGCCATAGTTCTATCTCTAACAGAGGACAGATTTGTTTGCTCTCCAGAATAAAAGGATAATGTCTCCTGGAATAAAGGTTGGGCAAGTTTGGTAGCAGCCCTTTTATAAGACTGAGGGTTTCCTAAGATCAATGGTCATCAATTGAGATACAAAAACATGGGTGTAGGTAGCATCCATGCTGGCCAGTGGACAGATCCTGGTAGAACTTGTGTGCATTGGGAGATGGGAAAGGGAACAGAGGTGAACATGAGGCTCATGCTATCTGCTGTGCCTTGAGGAATAAAGTCCTTATTCTCTGACCCATGAGTTTGAGGGTTTTTTGTTTTTTGCCAGCAACCATGAAACCGTGTCTTAGATGCATCTCAAGTTCTTGAGACTTAATCTCAAGGAAAACCTATGTTGTGATTATTGTTATTTTTTCTTTTATATGTGTATTTTTTTGCACATATAAAATACACATATCTTTTATATGTGTATTTTATATGTGTATCCTTGTTTGGCAGGAGAACATTTATCCCAAAGACTCCCTTTCCCTCACTTCTGGTGAGTTCTGACAAACACCTAGCTAGTATGATAGATTTTTGGTAAAATAGAAAGAAAGTATCAGAATAATAATCTGGCCACTGTATATAAAAATAAACATTTAGTATTAATTCAAGAAAGGTTTTCTGTGTTGACAATGTTTCCTTCCGCAGCTATTTAGCAAAGAGGTAATTTTCTTTATCCACTATACATTTATTTACATGTGCTGTATCAAAAGAGCCCCGAACATCCTACTCCCAAACTGAGAGGAAGGCGTATTGACAGTAGAGTGATCATATGAAACTTCCCACAGATAACACTGATAAAATCTGAACAAAATGTTTTAAAAACCTACCAACTATGTAGAAGAATGGAAAGTATCCCAAAACAAACAGAAACAAGGACCTAATATTACTTTTATCTCCCTTTCCCCACCTTTGGATGGCGTTTGTAATTTTAATTTACTTTGATTTCTCATGCCTGTCTATGTCACAATGATATTTGAAGACAATGAAACAATACCAGGCTGACCTTAACTCTCCAAAGCAGCCACTGCTAACCAGCCGTGGAATTCCAATTAAGTGGCTGAAGGCCATTTTGAATGTTAGACCTACGTAACGCTGCAAAACTGACTTTTATAAAGGAACAATTGGCTCAAACTTCTGGGTTCTCTTTCCTTATTGTGATCTAAAGCTAGATGCCAGGCCCATGGATATAGTGCAATGGTGACATAAAAGGGCTGGCTCAGGATAGCCCAGTCCTACCAATGTACCATAGCAGAGACTTGAGTATGGTAGCAATGAAACTCCCATTGTACCAAACTTCCTATGAGTCAAGTGTACAAAAGTATAACCTGAGTATCAAAAGGAATTCATGGTCCCTAAGATCTAGAGAGGTTTGACTTAGCCTCTATTCCACACTCTGTAGAAAAGCCCAGTGCTGTTCCCAAGATGTCTGTGGACTCTTTAGGGACACACCTCGGGACATCTCTGAGTCCGATTTCTTCTTTCTTGAGTTCTGGTTCTCCATTCTGTGCTTTGTGACTTTTTCCCTTCCTCTCTGGCATCAATCTGAGTGTGAAATCAGCTCTTTGTTTTCTTTTAAAACTCCACTCAATGTGTATGGATGTAAAAGGAAATATTATCAGAAAATTTCAAACAAAGTAAAGCTGGATATTAGGCATCCCTGCTCTTAAAATGGTTTTAGCCACTCTCTCATACTTCTACTCCTCCCTTTCTCCTCCATCCTGTTCTCTCAGTATAAAATAAAACAATCTCCCCCCAGATCATCCTTCAGATCTTCACTCCTTTCTCTCAGTTGTTTCTCGTCAAACACACATTCTGGCCTCCTTTCAGCACAGGGCTCAGCAGAAACCCAGAAATCACCCCATTATTAGAGGTTCACAAAATTCCTTTCTTAGGTTTGGGTTATAGGATATGCTTTTACTGCTTCACAAAAGACTTGTGTTCGTATGTATGTTTTAAATTACAAAATTAATACACTCCTCTTATCTGACTGATAAGTCATTAAAATTGCTATACATGCTTTTGGCAAATACTTAAAAATATTAGGGTTCAGATACAGTTTGGTGCCGAAATTTCAATTCCATTTCTCCTTTATTATAGAGTTCGGGCAGAGGACAATACGCAAAGATTGGGAGCTAGAAAGAAAACAACGTGCCTGCTTATTCAATGATTATAATTACCAATGTACCAGTTATTGTCTGGGAGTACTCAGGCCAATACCTGTCTTGTACCAATGGGGTAAAACTCCTGAGAACTACCTTCCCAAGATCCCCTTGACAGCTGGTTTCCAGGTTGGTTCTTCTAATGGGCTGGACTCCTATGTAATGAGAGGGAGATGGCAGAAGTAACTTGAAGGCCCTAGACTTCTGGTCCCAGCTGCAGAACTGACATGCACCTGTGAATGCTTGCAAGGTGCCAGTGGCAGAAGCAGTGAATGTGTGCTCTGTGATGGATGCCCATTGCTTAGGGCAGACCAGTGTGGCCTCCTGCAGGTCCTGGTCCCTGAGAGACATTACTTTCCCCTTGTGTCTCCAACAGTGTTGTAGCTTAACTCTCTGGATTAGATTCTTTTCTGTTTTAAATAATTAGAGTGCTTTCCATTTTGCTGATTGAATTCTTGACTGTTACCCCCTATAATATGGCTGTTCTGGCAAGCTATGTTAGAGGACAGGAGAGCTATAAGGCCAGAGGTTTGAATAGGCATTTTCAAAACTAAGATGACTGGAACTGAAGAGAAGATTTTGAGCAGACTTATCTTCCCAGTCTAGGGAGGAGCTGCTGGAATGCAGAAAATGTAATGAACTTGCTCCAAAGAACCAGAGCCACATATACATGCTAATTAGACTGAAAAACAGAATAGGAGAGAAACACCAGAACATGGCTGCAAGCCCTTAAGAAAAAGCAGCCTTATCTGCTCACGAAATGCAGGACAATGACCAATCCATTGATCATCTTCTCCTTCTTACAGGAGGAAGAGTAAGGGGAATGGGTGGAAGTACTCAACATGCATGGGGAGAGCTGGAAACATCTGCCTCTGAGCTGTGTTGGAAACCTGAGAAGGTAGGAGAAACTGTTTTTACGTACAATAGAAAACTGAACTCATTCTATCAGCCTAGAAGGAATGAGAAGAGGCTTATGTTTTGTAATTGAGATACTCACATGGTTAAAAGGATGAAATATGTATTTCACTGGCTTTCTCTTTTATCACCAACACAAAAGCTGGCATGATTTCTGTGTGACTGAGTTCTTGCCAGTGGGATCCCAAATCCCAAACAAAACCAAGGAGACCATTCTGACCACTCTGAAATTCATTGAAAAGTATGAATCTTTTTCTTGAAACAAAGACTTGATAGGAAATAGCCAGGATTCTATACACACTTGTATTTGGTCCTAAATAAAAGCCTTGACTTGACTGTTAGAATGCTAAGTGGGCACCAGGAAAGAAAGAAACTACTCAAAGAGATCTTGATGAAACCATGTGCCCTGGGAGTAGTCAAGCTAGAGTAGCGTGGAGCAGCGGGGATAATTGAAGCAGTGTCTTTCCTAAACGATGTCATTTTCTATGTAGCTGTTGACATTTCTTCTAGCGTTTCATGACTGGTCATGAAGTCACCAATAGTTTCTTCCAGTGTTTTTCAGTGTAGCCAGCTTCTGTTTATTGTCTATTGTGTGCATGCTGATGCTATCCAAAGCATTTTGTGAACCTCTTTTGGAAACTGTAAAGGTTGTCAACAGCTTCAAAATCATGCAGTGCTTCTTAGCCAAACAAAATTTGCCTGAAAAAAAAATCTCGATTTCTCGTGTGCAGATAGGACCCCTGTGATGCCTGGCACCACCCTGGCCTTTACTGCTTTGTGATATGTCAGGGTGATTCACTGGTTTTGACATGGGCATGTGTTGGCTTCAAAAGCCTTTTCAAAATTTTTGAAGGAAGTTTTGCTTACTGCTATGAAAAGTGTTACATTTATAATGGCATCATTTCAAGATATTCTGTCAAGAGCTGGGAGCCAGATACAAAGTTCTTCTCTATTCCACAGCTTACTGGCATTCCCAAGGGCAAATCTGTAATAAGTGTTTGAATCTCACATGGAAATTTCCCTTTCTTGAGAAAAAAAAGAAAGTAAATCTATTTTAGAAATAATTTTGGCATGAGAATAGCTCATTTATGGCTTGACTTACATAGCAAATGTTTTTGTTACCTCCTGGAGGTAAATCTTTTCATTCAAGGTTCTGCAGCGACAATGGCACTACTGAAAAATTACAGGCTCTTTGACTAAGTTGTTGTTTGCTAGAGGTGGCCAAATATGTGAACTCTGTGATACTGGATGAAGATATACTTTTGTACTCTGGAAATGGGAACGCCAAGGAGATAGTGATATATAGATTCCTGGCAATGTGACAGAGTTCTTTTGAAAGTCATTTTATTCAAACAACCTTAAAATAGGAATCTGGATTTGCAGTTTTTTTACTTGCTAACAAAAATAGTACCAGTAATTCAGGCTTTGCTAAAGATACCCTCATTGATATGAGGACAAAGAGAAGACTTGACTCGTATTCAGTTCAAAGTCCTGAAGAATTCTGGTGTTGTTATGCACAAAATTATTCCAACCTGGGAAAATGAGTGACGGGTAGCTCTGATTCCATTTACTGAAGAAAAAAATGCTGTAATATTAAAAGCTGACTCCCAAATCCCTTTTAGAGAAAAATTTATCTAGAATCACACTTTGATAAATGTGTAACTGGGATGGATTTTGTTGCTGCTCGGTTTCTCTCAAATGTGAGAATTGGTGACTTTCCCCTCCAAGACTTCCAACTGTTGCCTGCTTTTAAGAATTTCTCTTTCTGGAAAACTTTGGAAAATCCTGGACTTTTGGAGGAAAAAGGCAATGTTTATACAGCACATTTTGGATGGTATATGCCAGATAAATGTCCTGCTGATCCATGGATGACAAGCCATTGTCCATCAGCAATGGGAAGAAACTGACATGGTGCCTCAGTGTGGTCATTGTGTTTCCTGCGACTCCCACTGGAATGGCTGTGGGTGATGGCATTGGCTCAGCTTCCATCAGGCTTCCTATGGGAGTTGTTTTGACAGCTTGGCCTTCCTTAATGGTGACTCTGGTCTTTCACTTCCTCTCTTTCCCTCTCCCACCACGATTCGGCCCTTCCTCCTACCTCCTCTCAGGTGATGCTCCAGAACACTCTCCCTTTCTTGCTGCCTCCCTATCCCAGGAACTTTCATCTAGTCACCATGGAGACTCAAGGGTAAATTTTCTGCATCTCCTTCAATTTTCTTTCAAATAAATTATTATGGATCAAACTCCATGTTCCATTTCCCTTAAGGCCTTACAGCATTGACACCTAATAACCTATTTTGCATATAAAACAGAAATCAAAACGTGAACATAAAATGAAAGCCCTGCATTATGTTTTTTCTTTTTGCATGTCTCCCTTTCTAATTCTAATGCTTTTGAAGGCAATATGGATGTCTCAGGTATTCTGGGGAGGATCAGTACAAAGAAGTGGTACAAGAGCAACAAAAACAAGGCACAACAATGACTGTTGGGTAAAGAGGCAGCTTAGAGGTGTCTGGGTCCTAAAGCTTCAAAGATTGGTCATAACTGCTTTGTTTAGTAAAAAGACAAAAATTAAGAGCCAGCAAAATGGTATAGGTTTTGCTGATGATCAAGAACATTGCTTGGTGTGATCTCTCTGTGAGAATCCTTCCAAAGATACAGTCAAATCTTCAATGGTACAAAAGCTTGATATGTGAGAAGGGGCTAAAATGGTGTCAGTGTCGGCTGGTATGGGGCAGAATGTAAGGATGTCAGAGCGCACAGGTGGAGGAGGCAGGCAGGTGCCAGTTGCTGCAGACCTAGCAGAAACCTTTAGGTAGAGCTTTGGCTTTCCATTGGCAATGAAATTACCTAGTATAAGTGATTTTACCTAAAGATCAAGTAGGTAATGCAGACTCCACCTGTCTAGAGAGATATAATAATGCACATCTTTGTGATTAAGCACTTACTAGACACAAGAGATAGAAATAAAGTGTACTATGTCACAGATCACTGCAATTTTAACTTCTTATCCTCATTAAACACCTTTGGATTTCTTATTTCTGGGTAGTCACCAAGTTCATTTTCATTTCATGTAAATAGTTTTGATTCAAGTTTTTTAGGATGTTGCCATTAATTTCTACAAGAAAAAAATGAAGCAAGAAAATTTCTGCAAGAAAGAAATGAAACTGTATGCATCAGAGTTGATAAAGCAGAAAAGGCTTTTATTAAAATAATATAGGATTGCTCCTAAATTTCCCAGGAGGGCTGGTGAACGAACCTTGAGAAGCCAGCAGGAACAGTGGCAGGTCAGGCAGCCAGAGCAGTGGCCAAGACTGCACCACAGATCAACCTCGGGGAAGCATATTGCTGCCTCTACAGGGACTCAGACACCTCAGTTTCATTACTACCACCAAAGCCACTGAGCATTTGATCCAGCTGCTGCTGCCCTCGCCACTGTAATAGATTCGCTACTGGGCCTGCTTCTCTGTCCAAATTCACAATGCTAGCCTGCTGCCCTTAATTGGCCAGGTCTGTGTCACTCCCCCATGACTTAAACTGCCAGGGGTGCTGGGGAATAAGCATCACGGTTTTGGGGCTCCCATGCTGGGAAGTGGGCATAAGCAGTGAATGGAGTTAATAAAGGGATAATATAGCAGGAAGTAAAAAAAAAATTACAATCATCTACGATATTGAGAGAAATGATTTTTTATAAAAAGCGGTTTTTCTTCTATGTTGCCTATGTGAAAGCAATAAATATCCAAGGCAATAATATGAGTAGTATATTAAAATTAACAGGGGTATTTTAAGACTCTTTTGGGAGATGAGAGCAGGTCCATAAGTATATGAGTATACTAGAGTCCCAAAACAAAACACTACACCCTGAGAGGCTTGAATAACCAAAATTTAGTGTCTCAGTTCTGGAGACTAGAAGTCCCAAATCAATGTGTCAGACAGGTTGGTTTCTCCTGAGGGCCTCTCTCATTGGCTCACAGAGATCATCCTCCTGCTGTGCCTTCACATGGTCTTTCCTCTATGTATCTATGTGTCCTAATATTCTTTTCTAATAAGGACAATAGTTATAGTCCATTAGAGCCCACTCTAAATGACTTCATTTTAACTTAATTATCTTTTTAAAGCGACTATCATCAAATACAGTCACATTATGAGATATGGGGGTGAGGGGCAGTTAGGATTTGAGATTTCAGGGGCCATACTCTCTTAGTGAGGATGCTAGGAAACAGAGTCTTTCTTACATTGCCAGTGGGAAGGTAAAGCTGTCTGATCCTTGTGGAGGAAATTTGGCAATATTACATAGCAAAGTTACTCATGCATATTTCTTACAGGAATCTGTCCCAAAGATGTATGCTTAGTTTAAACTCTTCCTCTTGAATGAAAGCACAGTCTACAAACATGATAGGCTATCACTGTCATGATTAGGTTGCCTTATAGGGTGAAGGTTAAAAACATTTTTCAGATGTAATTAAGATCCCTAATCAACAAACTTAGAATTAACCAAAAGGGAGAGCACACTAGGTAGACCTGACCTAATCAGAAAAGAGAGCATCTCCTAATGGCTTTGGAGAAGTAAATAATCATTTTTGAAATACCATTTGACCTAGCAATCCGATTACTGGGTTATATACCCAAAGAATTATAAATCATTCTATCATAAAGACACATGTACACGTATGTTTATTGCAACACTATTCACACCAGCAAAGACTTGGAACCAGCCCAATTGCCCATCAATGATAGACTGGATAAAGAATTGTGGCACATATGTACCATGGAATACTATGCAGCCATAAAAAAGGATGAGTTCATGTCCTTTGCAGGGACATGGATGAAACTAGAAACCATCATTCTCAGCAAACTAACACAAGAACAGAAAACCAAACACCACATGTTCTCTCGCATAAGTGGGGGTTGAACAATGAGAACACAGGGACACAGGAAGTGGAACATCACACATTGGGGAATGTTGGGGGGGTGGGAGACTAG